AGTGGTTGTGATTCTAAGAATTGTATATTTTTCAACTCCTATGGAATGTAAATTATGTCATAATACGAATCTTATTTGAGCCTATCTTTATGTCAGTAATTTGTTACTTAAGATAGAAATGTCACGGAATTAGATAAAATGTTTGATTCCCAAGAGGTGAAATAAAAAGTAATCAATTGTTTCTGTAAACTATATCTATGGTATTTAAAAAGGATAACATATGTTCTATAAATTAATAAAAAGACACCATTTATTAGGTCACAATGAAACAGGTCGTTTAGTTCATATTATCTATAAAGAAAAGACTATTAGTAATTTTTTCACCACTGCTCTTGTAATAACAATTATGTAAATTATTTATTATTGAATCGAATGTACATAAGTATAAGTTTGTAAATTTAAAATCAAACATGGCAAACTATAATTTCCAATTGACTATGAAATACGTTGCTGATAGCATCAATGTCAAATGTAAAGAACTATTTAGAAGAGAAGACTTAGGGTGAACTACAGATAAGGGCTTCTGGCAATAATGGCACGACATTACTACCTGATATTCAGAAAGCTCAAAAGGGATGTTCGCAAAATAAATGTTACTTCATTTCAATGGTATGAAGTATTTATTTGTTAATGAAATTAAAAATGGCAAATGTTATTTTATCGAAAACTGGTGCAGATAAAATCTATAAAATGTAGTAAAAACCGGTCTTGTTTTCTTTTAATCTTTTTGTATATTTGAGCGATCCAAGTTTACTTAACCAACATTTTTATATTATTTAACTTATCTTCACTGCATAGCATAGCATAGCATAGCATTGAGGTTAAAAGGGATGTTGTTTCATATGATGAGAAAATGTCATGTATAATTTTCAGTATCACAAAAGCTGTTAGATATTTATAAAAAAATCAAAATTATCTAAGAATATTAAATTTTTGACTATGCATTGATTAATTATTTTTTCACCGCTTGTTGGACAGATTTATGATGACGATGCTTTATACTTGAAATCGCTCTAAGTTTGACTATGACACGTGAGAAGTCCTAATATAAATACTTCATTTCATACGTGTTTATTAATTGTTTTGCTTAAACATCCTTTGAGTCTGTAAATAATTTAATATAATAAATTCAATGTAGATGATGGTAGAATCACAACTAACCGTTATTCCTAATTAATCCTCAATTTCTACGTATATAGTTCGTGATAATGGAATGTTATAATAATTTTAGTACATTCTTCCTCTTCCTGGCAATTTCCCAGATTTAACCAGGGTCTGAATTACAGGTTGTAAATAGTTTGGCTAATTATTTTTACGACTGGCCGCCTGCCTGACATCCACCCTCTTTGGGAATTAATCACCACGCTTGCTCAAGACGGGTTGGTTATTTCAAACTTATAATTGTGAAATTATAAGTCCAGGTTTCCTCACGATGTTTTCCTTCACCGACTGTCAGTGGTGTCTAAATACTCCCAGAAAGTACATATGACTCGGAAAAATCACATCGCAGGATCGAACCCGCGCCCTTGTGCACGAGAGGCGGACCTTTAACCACTAGGCCACCACTGACTGACTGACTGAAAGTTTTACCTTTATATTATTATGTCCAAATCGGGTAATTTGATGAAAAATAACCTCACTCTCTGTAAGTCGTGTGTCGAAGCAAGATTCCAAAGCAATACTTAGGTAGAATACCTTCCAGCTGTTATTAAAAATTACAGCTTTAGTGACTGAACTGTAATTTGAAAGAGAACGTCCTAATCCTCTATGAAAATTTAATAGTGATATGATTAAGTTTTAATTAGATAACAATCATATTTATATTTGGATACTTTTGCGAATTCGATCTCTTTGGTTTGGCTTCAATTTCCTCTTTTAGGATCCCGTAAAATAATATAAATATGATGAAAAAATATTACCGTACTAAGGTAAAATATAAAAAAAGAACTCAATCGTGATACTTTAGGGAGCCCGCGATGCTGTCTAGCTCTGGAAAGCCTACGCAGTCAAAGCTCTCATTTCTTATTTTGATATTCATTTATCACCAAGGATGCCAAGGTTATAAAGCTTTATGTGGTGGTCAAAGATTTAAAAATTGTAATATAATAAATCTTCAAGCTCGTTAGGGTGCGACAGTCTTAATTACATAATTGTTTGTAGTTGTATATTTTACAATTTATTATTAATGTAAGGTGATCAAAGTTATATTATTCCTTAGCCTTATTCTAGAAGTGTATACTTAAAAACAAAAAATAAAACGTTTTTTAGATATTATTATTTGGTTTTATTATTTAATTTTTTCATTTTTGGATGTCTTGATTACTTTACATTTACAGTTATCACCGGCACACGAGGTGAAAGTGTCTGTTAGTAAGTCTTGTTATTTGTCACCAGCCTTGCTTACATAATAATAAAACCGAGAAGTCATAACTGAAAACCATAGTTTTCTAAATCCAAGATTTCATTATAGAAAAAAAATACGTCATACTTATATTATCACATACTTAACAGATTATTATTCTGCATGTATAATTTATATTGTATACCTAAATCTGAAGAGCACGAAATTTTTTTCAAAATAGATTAATTATTCTTCTTTATCTTATAAGATGCCCTAAACATCAGGAACTATGCTTACAAGAAAATCGTGACATATTACAAAGATCCCCCCTAATATTAAACTGCTCAGTTTGATTCAAATCCGCAATCCCCGAATGAGCTCCCGTGCTATAGAGCATAAATCCTATATATGTATATATAAATATATATATCTGCTCGTAATTGTTATGATAAAAAAATGCACTTTCAAATAAAAAAGATGTAATAAAATATCACCAAAAGCGTTTGTCTTGTTATTCACAAAAGACAAGAAACTCTAGAGAGTTTTGATTTATCGAAGTGTAACAATCTTACTAATAGAACTAAAATATATTTTACGAAGCTGCAAGCAGTAATAGATATGATAATAAAATTGGTAACGTTTCTTAATAAATCGTTTTAATTAGAATGATTCTGTTTGCATAAAGTTCATTATTGTTTCATAAATATAAGGAATAAAGGTATAAAATGAATCCATCAAAGCATATGTATAAGCTCGATAATTGGGTAAATGGGCGCTGAATTGGATACCACTTGTGGTCACGTGATAGTAGCCAGTCAACAAATGTAATTTTAAACAATTAAGGCAAATAAGGGGTTGTGTGAGTTTTGAATTAAAATATATTCCATTCATATGATCCAATAATGAATGTACCACCAGAGTAAACAAAGTTATTTTAAATATAATATTTTTTACTTTAGTTTGAATTGTTTCTAAATATTTTTATATTATTTTAAAAATTAAAAAAAACAGTCATATATTAACATTGGTAATATTTTCGATGCTCTATTTTTATTACAATATACAAAAACAAGTTGAAACAACATAAAACATTAATCTAAATTAGTTTTAGAATAAAATGTTTTTGTATGCTCGCAGCTTGTTTTCGTTTACGAACTCTAATGTAGCATTAGATTTTCTACGAAGAAATAGTTGCTAAATATTGTGTTTAATAATATGTTTTTTTATAGAAAAGGAATAACTATTTATTAAAAAATAAAAAAAAATTATATCTAAATATTTTTAGTGTTTTTAAACTGATAATTTCGAAGTCATTATATGTAGTAGTATGTAGTATCTTAAACGTCGGTTTGATAATAATGTTAATGGTAGCGAAATTAAATTAAATTGAATAGACTACGCAACATGGACGCTAATAATAATTAATTAATTATACCTAAAAATTCATCATTCGCCTAACAAAAGTAAAGTTTAAGTGAAGTTAAATATAGTTTAAGAATGAAGCTGGCGCAATTTTCTTTATAATAAAATCATGATTGGTTGAATGTGTTGTGTAGAAACTTTATATATGACGGGATAGTGCACGAGGCATAAGCTGAGCTTTTCATTTGTATAAATTATCACACGGATAGTGTAGTTGTCATGTCAAATTTGTGTTTGTCATGTGCTTTTTAGGTTTAAATCGGATTATTCTGCTTTTATTCCGCTCCACACCTTCCGCACTACACATTTGCACTGGTATTACCGTCAAAGTTTTTAATACTTAATATGTAATATTTAGAAAAAGTTTATACTATGTCTATTTAAGAAGGGAAAAATATGTGTAATCATGAAAAAAAAAAGAAGAAAAAAACTTTCATGGTCAGGACTCGTTCTTTATGATGTAACAATTTCTTATTTATGTCACCATCACATCAGAGGACAGCTGTTATAAAGTCGAACACTATAATAAAAATGTCGAAATTGCAATGTCAAGTGAAGAAGAATTTTTGTAGTTTGATCAAAATTTTACTAATTAGTTATATTTATTACCATAATATTATAATATTTACAATTTTTAGTCTAGAATTGCTCTCTCACTTACGTTATGTATCTATTTAGAATCTAATAAAATTAAATTCAAAAACTTTTTGTCTCACTGTACTTTTACTTTCACTCACAGCAATGCAAAGCTCAGCTTAAGGTTCAGGGACTACAGTAGTATTACAACAAATTAACAATTATGATATATGAGGATATTTATGATCTTCCCGTAATGCAATTTTTCTACCTTCTTTGGTAACGCCAGGTCACTCGGGTTTTTACGTCGACTCGCATAGTGACAGTAATAATATCGGACTCCGCTTGACGGTACCTTTGTCCGTCTCCGAGGTTATGTCGTCCCGATGAACCAATGGTCCAGTCGCGATTTGTAGGTATTCCACTCATGTTCTTGGTCATCATATGATAGGGACACCGTATATGGCTCCCACTGACATTTTTTCGTCAAATTATTATTAGTTCGCTCGTCATCATGTGTTAAGTGTTGTGTGGAGTGACAGGGACAACATTTAAAGTCCATGTCACTCCGCAGGGAAAATCATAAATCTCTTCGACTTCACACTTAAAAGATTCGGGTTTTAGTGAGAAGTTTCCTAATGTTTTTGAGGATAATCTTAAGGTTCTAATTCGTGTATCTTTACAAAATTACGTGTGCAAAGAACTGCATAGTTCACATTTGGGCATTCCGAAAGTGAAAGCGGAGGCTCGGAAACTGCTGTGGTTCCCGAGCGTAGACGCGGTGTCCGAGTGAGTGGCGGCCTCTTAGTGTAGGTATGATGTAGGTGCATTGGGGCCGGCACCACCGCACGCGCCACTGTTTGAGTGATCCCGCGCCCTCGGCAACGGGAGGCGGGCCCTTTAACCACTAGGCCACCACTGACTAGTTAGTTCCTCATAGCTCATAGTATTTGCTCGATTATGGATGGAATTTTATAAAAAAGCATCTTAACAATTCCAAAGTTATTCGGAGTTTAGAAATAAGGCACGCAAATATAAAGGTATATTGGAAATGGAGTATTAAAAGTAAGCAGTTAGTTATGATATGAACCATTTTTACAAAATATATGAAAATTTTATTTAATACATCAATGTATTTGCCTCAAATGCTGATCTAATAAAAGATAAAATGCATTTCTTTAAAAAATTTACTGCTTTTAAAGTGTATAATCAAAATTCTTTACATTTATTTTCAATATTAAAAACATAAATATATGTGTTGTTAAAAAATTCATATCAGAGGTATGTAATTTAAACATATAATAGTGTTACAATATAATTCTGATAATAGCGAAAATTGAGATATAAAAATAATATCTTCAATAAACCACAACGATAACACATAAGTCAACATAAACTAATATTTACAGGATATAAAATCATAAAACCAATGCATTAATAAGTGAAGTTTTTTTATTATATGATTAATATAATTTCTTATTAGTACTTCATTATGGATTTATAAAGGAACAATGTGTCTATGAAAAATGATATGGGAACCAGTCTGCAAAGTTATTTCAAACTCATGACATTTTTAAAAATATTATTGTTCCCTATTTCAGACAGTAATTATGATGAAATGTAGAGAGCGTGTGTTTTAGCTTACGTGATTATAAAGATATGTACATGTTTATATAATTATTTTTTTCTAAAAACATACTTATCTGTCGTATACAATTGTACAATGTAAATATATTAATTTAGTTCTTTGTAGCCCTTTGAAATATAATCATGCAGTTTATGTATTCAACAATAAATTATTGAATTCAAATCAATTATAATTTAAACCGACTGACGTGCATAATCATTGTATATTTATTTCTGTACTGATGTAATATATTGAATGTTACATTTTATTTATACATTTTTATATGATAGGGATTTTTATTACAGTCACTTTAAAGGAAAGATATATTCGGTTCAGGTAAATGGTGTGTACGACATTTATATATAACGTTGAAAAATTATTGAAACTCTATTATGTTATAGGACAATAAAAGGTTTCCGGATAATATCAAGATGCGATTTCCAGAAGGAAACACAATATCTCCTGTCAGTTCAAGTTGTTTGAGTTAAAAGATTATTTACATTGACATTTTATTAAAATTTATTACATTTGTGTATTTTCATACAAGACACACTATTGTGTATGTAAATATATATATGTTTTTTATTTAAAAATTATATAATTTTATAGTTTTTATTAATTCCTATTGAATTAAAATCTGAAATGAGGTCCCATTAATGTCTAAATACAAAAAGTGTTACAAAATAAATTGGATTCATATATACGAAAAGATTTAGAACAGTTAACAATCAACATCTATAGTCTGTGTCACGGGACCTCACGAGCAATATAACTGTTTTGCAATGATCCTCCAGGAATAACAAATGATACAGTTGAAAATTATTATTATTCTTTCATCTCAGATACTTCATTGTTAAGTTGTATCAAAATCTATTAAATTAATTTTAAAAATCAACATACCTTAATACATCCAACCAAGTTAATACGGCTTCGACAACTTTAATTTTTTTAATTTAAAAGGTGGAAAACAAGCAGACGGTCTACTTGATAGGCAGTAGTCAGCGTCACGTGATACCTCAACCAGGCTTTACCACAACACTAACAGAATTCTGTATAATTTAAGCCGAATTTAGCTTGTCGTAATTGGTGTTTAAATGGAGTGGAATAAATTATAAATAAGCAATATGTGTTTTTTTTTTATATTTAGATTATTAAAATAATATATTTTTAATTTACTTGGCTGCAGACACTTTCAGCCTTATCGAGAAGTCATAACAAACATGTTATTTTAAAGTTAACGCTTAATTTGTAAAGTGCAAATATTATCTAGTCTAGATAATCATTTTATCGAATTTCAATTATTCTAAATGTATAAATACACGTTCATAAATAAATGTTTATATTACACTTAAGTGTTGTCTTAATCAAGTTTAGAAGCCTGTTAGACTGATAGTCCAAAAAAGAAAAAGAGAATTTAGTTCAACAAATAAATAATGGCACGAAACTGATGAAGAAATATAATTGTAAAAAAAATATAAATTAATACTATTCAATATCAACATTTAAAAAATACCTGTTAAAAAATAAGAATTCTGAAAGGAGATAAAAATTATTTAAAAGAAATAACTGTTATCGTCGTCAAAATAAATCTTAGTCGCAGTTGTTCATAAAAGTTCACAAATCGGGTAGTAAACCTGAAAGTATTCTTGAAGCTTCACTTGGTTTTGAAATTCTTGATATCACGGGCCTTACATGGCAAACACAAAGTTTCACCATAGTTGCTAAGTTTATTATGTGCTTCAATGGAATTATGAGGTTACCATTATAAAATCGTTGACTTTATAACTTTCCAGTAATAATATTTTCAGTTATTCACTCCACAATACTTTAATAGATTTAAATTACATAGCCATTATAAACTGACGTTCTGTTACAGGTAAGAAAAGAGTGCTCATTAAAATGTAAAAGATCTATTTAAATTGTTCAGTGCGGGCGCGTAAAGTAAGAAATAAAAGTTTATGAAGCCAAAAATTTACTAGGACTGGAACGTGGTTTGTACACTCGGGGTAAATAGCGATATGGAAATACGGAGTAGTTTATCACCTGTAAAAAGCTTCGTTCTCTTCAGTTGAACGCTGGCTGTGGTCGCGAGCGGATGTTTCAACGCAAGCAGTATTCCGATCATAGTTGAGGAACTTTAGATTACGTCACGTTGAATTGAAAGTTTGAAGTTGTATGGTGCTTCGTAGATTTTGTCAAAATGGTGCAAAGTAAAGATAAAAAACTGGTCGCCACTTTCTTTTGGCTGCTTGCCTGTATTCACGGTAAGTTGTGTTTGTTATAAGACTTCAATTGGACACATAGGGTTCTTAAAATGTTATGGTACAATACCTTTAATAGTAAAGTTTTGTTTTTTAAGTTATATTGTCGCCTTTTAAAGGTCACCACTTTAAAGGACTTTTAAATATATTTGAATAATATTTTTATTATCCATCTTAAAATGTGATAACTAATTTGACGTGTTGTAATTATTATTATGTTCTGAATTTAGAATATAACTCTCTTATTTTTTTAGCTCTTCTTTGAGTGATGCTTTTATTAAAACATAACACAAAGATGATTATAATGTAACATTTTAGCCGTCGATCTGATAACAAAATATCTAATAACTAATCAACTTAATTATTCATAAATCTAAAGCAAACACTTTTGTCATAAAATATTTACTTTATAATTCTCTAGAAAAACTATGCACTTTTTTAAATGATTCTTTAAAATTTAAAAGTAAAATTAGGCGATTCGTTTAGTGAACTTTTTGTATTTTCATGATTTTTTAATATTTATCGCTCACATAAATTTCAAACAAGTTGCTATGATATTATGATAATAAAATGTATTTCTGTAAGGTATTTTCTTTAATCACTTTGGAATAGCTCTTCGTAAATGATTGATGAAAAATAAAGTGGAATTTTTGTATTTAATGTCGAAAACGTAATGTCAAGTGAAGAACAATTATTTGTAAAGTTTTTTCAAAAGGTTTATTAATTTTTTTTTCATAATATTTCTATCTGACCTTTTACAAGTTTTGCTTATTTAATTTTTATCTAGAATAGCTCTGGCACTTATATGTATGTATTATGTATCTATTTAAAATATGTATAATAAATTTTAATTCCAAAAGTTTTTTTTCTAACTACTTTTACTTTCCCTCACACAAATACAAACCTGAGCTTAAGTCTAATGGACTATACTAAGATATAAATGTAATTTATACAGATAAAATATTTTTAGTCATTTAAATAAAATCTCTTTATTTATTAATTGATTAAAAGCATTCAAAATCAAAAACATAAAAATAAAATGTGTCAAGAATTATCACATTGTTTTTAATACTAAAGTTTGAAATGAACTGAAAATTAACTACGAAAGATTTCTCGGAATATAAGAGGTTTGAATGCTAACAGGTTTCGTCTCATTTAAAATCACTACCAGGAAAATCTGGCTGACGCTGGAAAGACAGATGACGCTAGAAATATAGATGACTGTTGAAAAGATAGCCGAGGAACGGCCTAGCAGGCCAAGCCTGGTATTTATGAAGCTACAAGTCAAATTAATAAAAATACCCCTTAGACAGTCCGAGGTGGGGGGCGGGGCGGAAGATATGTCCACCTGTTGATTTCAATGGCGAAAACGGCGCAAATACTGACTTGAAATGCCCTATGTGCGGGAAAAACTACAAGAGACTAGTCTGGTTCATTAAACACCTAAAATCACATAATAGTGTTGAAGCATGACAATTGTCGGTAAGTTCTTCAACTTTCACTTCAGATAGAGTTGACGCTCATGTATCCCATGATTCACCATTTACTGGAAACTACCAGGAGTCCATTGTCATCTAGATACATCTTAGCATTCCTAACCTACAACAATCGATTTGGAAAGTTCACGACGACAATTTAACGGTCCTGTTAGAACATTCGGGCTTTAAGCAGGAAGTGCACTCGTAGGTAGAAACTCTCCAAAACATTATTTAAAACTATTGCAATGAACTCGGAATGATGATGAAATCGGAATACAAAACACACCCCGTACAATCCAGGACTATCGTTAGGCGGTCAATGCTTTTCTACGGTTACTGAAAATGCACCATTTAAATTCCCCAGTCGTAAGATTGATAATACAGGTCGTACTCTATCTTTAGAAGGAATAGTAGATAGCTATTTAAA